CCCCCAGTTTTTTTAGGCCCGACCTTATTTTGCGATCGCGGCTTTTGCTCCTCTTCAAAACCCCTATTGTATGCTTATCAGATCGCTCAAGAACCTAAGAGATGGAGTACCCATACTATCCCAACCCCCAATCCCAACAGTTCTCTTTATACAACTTGCAAGGGGCGCCCACCCTCGGTCAGAACGACGATGACAACCATCGAAACCCACAGACCGATGACATCCAGGATACTCTCGCTTCGTTGGTCCGCATTCCTTCTGTTGATCGGCTACTACTGAATCCTGTTTCACTGACCATGGTAAGGGGATACAGAGTTATCAGTCCTTCGACCCTTCGTTTCGCTTCCAGAACCCCACCGCAGCGTTCGGACATCCGCCACACTCTCCACCCGAGTCATTCTCAAAGCATTCCGCCTCTGGCAGTGATATCTTCGGCCAACCGACCGAGCCGACTTCGTTAGATGGAGAACTGGGTTTCGGTCGGAGTAGTAGCGAGGAAAAGGAGTCTATGACTCCAGCGCAATCAAAGCGCAAGGCACAGAACAGAGCAGCGTAGGTTCAACACCTCTTTTTTTGGGAGGTTTGTCCCATTCTTGCGACAAACCTCCCGGAGAGGGGTAACCGGCCCGGCTAACGTTCTTCTCCCGATACGGCAGTCAGCGCGCGTTCCGCGAACGAAAGGAGCGACATGTGCGAGAGTTAGAGGAAAAGGTTAACAGCCTGGAACAAGCATCATCCAATTTGGTTGCGGATAACGAACGCTTGAAGCGAGAGTTAGCCCGGTTTACAACAGAGAATGAGATCCTGCGCGCAACGTCGGGCTCGAGCGACCGAACACACCACAACTCAGATGAGCCAACTACGACAGGGCCGTTGACATACACTCCCACAGATTTTTACTCCGAGCTGGTACCGAAGGGCGAACCAGCTCGTCTCCATCGTGTGTCAACCTGCGCACAGACCGGGGAGAAATTGCTCGGTGCCGGTGCTACATGGGACCTAATCCAAGGGCATGAGCTGTTCAAGCGCGGTTTAGTCGACATCAGAGATGTCTCGGAACGGCTGAAGAACATAACTCAATGTGATGGACAGGGCCCTGCTTTCCCCGAGACCGAGGTGCTCAAGGCAATTGAAGAAAGCGCAGCTGCTCATGATGATGACCTTCTTTGAGTTTTGGATTCTACAAAGTGACGCTTGCTCCTTCGACTTCGGGTACGGTGCGTTTATGGCGCTTGTTGATTGGCGTATTTGGTTCACGATTATAATGATTGTTATAACGCTTCCTGCTGGAAATTGGGAGATTTTTATAAATAGAATGCGAGGGACTATGTAACTGATGCTGAACTGACCGCTACTGGGGCCGTTTACGGCCGCAATTCCCACCTGTAGGCGGCCCTCAAGAACCAGACATCCCTCAACACCCCCTCTTCTCTACCCACCAGCGCCTCGAACTCACCCCTTTGCGTTTTTATAATACAATCAGAGAGCAAAGGGAGTATGAGTGAAGGTTCGTTTTCATCAACACTTACAACAGCCAGTGGAGGGACTGATTGCATAAGTGCCTCACAGGAAACGCACCGCCGTGACCACCGCGGCAACTGAAAACCAGTTCATCCTCCTATTGAGCTTCAAAATATTTATCATACCCTACAGTCCCGATCCAGCTGTCATCAAAGGATGTGGTATCCTATGTGCCTATCATACCTCAGATGTCCTCATCGTCCGGGCTCATACTGTCGCGAATATAGGCACATCATCGATGACTGCCCATCCTGACTCGTATGTGATTTATGCCATCGCAAAGGGGGCATGAACCTTCATGTATCCGGAGAAAGATGTTTTATCAAGAGATACCTGTACCAGGGAAGCGTGGAAGCTCGGGGCCAAGTCAACAACCCAGCAAACAATAGACAACTTCATTTACCTCTCAACACATGCCCCCCATTCACAAGCTGTTGAGGCGAATGGGGATAATCTAGCAAGGGTACCGAAGTCTTCTGTTATATACAACGCTAAACAAAGTTCATGAGTCCTATTCTATCACCCCAGCACCCAAGTTTCCAACTCTCTGCCAACCGATCAGCACATAACATGTATACATGATTGCAGCCGCAAGTGCCTGTATTACTATATTATATGGAAGGGGACTTCCTTCCGATTAACCAATGTCATCCGGCCGTGGCCGAGCTATAGATCAATGGAGAGGGCTAAGGGAGAGAAGGCAAAGAAATCAGAGAGTGTTCCTGCAGAAGCACCAAAGGGAATGATGAGATTAGAATACTTGGACTAGGGCTGATGAAGCCACCAAACTGATCACGTCAGTTGGAAGCATCCGTGCTTCAGAACGAGCTTGGGAAGGAGAGCAGCAGAATATAAAGATAGTATGACTTCTTATGCCTAGAGGGGGTATCATACGTACAGAGTACAACCACGACAAGACATATACATATGTGCTTAATACTATGAATGGTTTTAAAACAGACCGCTAGACCCAGTTCCTTGAACAAAAGAGGAGAAAAGAACACATGACGTTTTTCCTTTCTCAGATGTATAATGGAGCCTTGGAGGACATCCTGACCAAAGCTCGTATTGAACGGAAGAATTATACCTTTACTCAAGGCAATCTCTATCAGAGAAAGATGCATTAAAGGCAAGGTGGTCGAGTGGTTAAGACGTAAGACTGTGTGTACCCCTTACTTTCGGCATTGAATCCCGCAGTTACTAACATTCACCCAGTGAATTCCATCATATGGATGATATCTTATCCCTTCGGGGTCGCGCGTTCAAATCGCGTCCTTGTCGACATTTTTTATTTTATTTGTTTCACACCCACAGACGGTTACCGCTCGCCAGGCGTAAAGTTTGATGTAAATTTTTATTAAATCAATGCGATATTACCTCGCCGCCACTTGCACCTTGTGCATATGTCATATTACCTTTCATGTTTCCTAGAAGCCGCAAAATTCTTCATCCGAGGCAAGGTGGTCGAGTGGTTAAGACGTAAGACTGTATGTTGCCATGTTTCCTCTACATCTACTTCACATAACTAATTCTTTCTCTAGTGAATCCAACTATTGGATGTTATCTTATCCCTTCGGGGTCGCGCGTTCAAATCGCGTCCTTGTCGATATCTTTTTTGTCATTTTTTTTGGCCCTCTCTTCTACTGGAAACCATTAGGTCTCTCAGTGCTGTCCTCGCAAATGAGTGCCATCTTTTTGTTGAAAACAAATCGAGCCCTATTTAGGCCTTCTAGATGTTTATACCTAACTTAAATCACAAAACCTTTAGCCTATTCTACTTAATATATACCTATAGACTCAGAGTCTCTAATCGATCTCCAAATACCTTGTCGTGTTCATCCGTTGTCAAGATCTTAGTAGTTGTTACTCTTTCTTATGGCAGTCTACAGGTTACATTAGTTGCTTTAGCTCCAAACGAGAACACTAAGGATTGATGATATCTAGAAATCCATATGTTGAACTTCAATTGATACGGCAGAGTAATAGAGACACCGTCTAGTCAAGCCCTTTGATCTCGTGTACGAGACTAGACTCGATGCCCATTTACTTAATATATGTCGAGGACCTTGGACCTCTATCGCCGTCTCTCTTGGATTTCGGAACGTCCATCTAATTGCATGAACGATGGAAATAATTCCATGGAATGTATAATTTTGTACAAGCAATAGGTCTCCAGGACCAGTTAGCTGCTTAGTAACCAGTTAACAATACAAGTAACAGTACATGCCAGATGTGGTTGATTGAGAAGTCTAAAAAAATAACAAGATGCACAGAGACGGTGCAAGTTAAGGAGAACCATTACTCATGAGCGAGGGGGTGATCATGACATCTAATGTTGAAGTACCAATCAGTCCCAGTCATCATCATCTTCTACCCGGGACTGTTTTATCTTCGATGGACGAGCGTCATCTGAGTCGTCAGATCGCTTCTTCAAACGTACATCACTCTCCTTGAGGGCGCCTAGGTCTAGGAGCATCCTCTCGAGATCTACCGAGGCATAGGCATTAATACCGAGACTTGACACCATATAGAGCAAAGCTCTGTACTAATGGACATGGGTTTGACCTTACCTTCGATCGTCGTCCTAGGGCCTTTAAGTTCCCTTAGTGTTACGAGCTGTCTTCTTATCTCGCCGTCCTTGTACACCAAGATTGTCGGAGTGTTTCTATCCGGATACCCTTCAATGCACATATTGCCGCGAATCTCGCAGAACTTGATGTCGCCAAACTTAGTCGCCAATTGCCGCCATAACTCCGTCAAGCGCTGCGACTCGACATTGCCACTCGATGAGGAGGACAGATGCACAAGGACAAAGGCGTTATTGGAAGCCTCAGTCACCTCTCTTCCGTAGTCGACTTTCTGAAGTGGGTAAACTTGGTTGTATAGACTGGTTTTCTGGAGCGTGGAGAGCTCTGCAAGACGTTGCTTTCTGCATACCGGATTAGCGATCGTAGTTCGACCATAAGAAGCCTGCAAAGTGTCGGCAGCGCCATACCGATATTGCTCAAGGAACTCTTCATCCTCTTCGTCTTCGAGCTCGTCTAGTTCGTCCAAATCCTTATCTTCTAGTCGGTTCTCATAGGCTTTGCGCTCCGCCTCAACAAGAGCTTCTTGAATGAGAGGTTCCGGGTCCTGAGGCTTCTCGGGGATAATGCCGTGTTTGCGGAGAATATCGTTCCTGCGGCGGGGTGAGTATTAAGATTGTATGGAGAGGGAATGTGGTGGGGACGCAGAGGCGGACCATTCTGTATCTTCGTTGGGGTTGACTTCAACTTGCATGGTGGACTAATGTATAGCAAAGCTCAATGGTCGAAATAGAGGATATTAAGAAAGAACAAGAGAAAAGCAAACCAAGTGAGTAGAAAGAAGTATCAGTCAACCATATATTTACGATCTCAAGACAGTGATGATGCATGCCGCGTGTTTGCATGGTTTGCAGCGTCAGCCACGGTGGCTTTAAGCCCACAGACGCGGAAGGACTAAGTAGACTAAGGCCACCTGGAGATTGTTGGATGCCATCTGGACCTCCTCGTCCGACGCTTTGGCAGAACATCCATTCATTCTTCCCTGGGACGGGTTTCTCATATCCTCTACTCAACCTCGTCCCCATTTTCGCTCCCTCCCCGTTCGCTTGTCTCTCCTGGAAGATAATGAGGGTGCGCTAATCACAGTTTCACCGCCTGCACCAACTACAACTAAACATTGGGACCTGACCCGCCCTTACTCGATCATTGACTCCGACGTCACTTCAACGGGGTCTAGTTCCCATACACAGAGTGTGAGAAAGAGAGTCTCAGCAGCTGCAATTCCTGCAGCCCGTCATCATGAGTTACATGAAGAAAGATGAGGACGCCGACCAGACTATGATCAAGCTGGATCGGACCTCCGTCTTCCAAGATGGTAAGGGACTATCACAAACAACCCCCCTGGGTCGCATTGAGTGTACAGGGACCCCGTGGGCTAAACTTCCTTATTTATCTGCTTCCAGCACGATTGTTCAACACCTCACCGATCTCTCCGCGACAATGTCGTACCCTTCTGACCAAGATTGCGGTCCTCCTTTTCACCGGGGAGCAATTCCCCACGAACGAGGCGACTACGTTGTTTTTCGGTATTTCCAAGTTGTTCCAGAACAAAGACCCATCGCTGCGGCAAATGGTATATCTCGTTCTGAAAGAGCTTGCCAACACTGCGGAGGATGTTATCATGTCGACTAGTATTATCATGAAAGACACCGCCGTCGGTAGCGATGTGCTCTACCGGGCGAACGCTATCCGTGCTCTGTGCCGCATCATCGATGTAAGCGCATTGCCAACCTCCCCATCGCTGAGTGTGAGCTAATTGTTGTTGGAAAAGGCTACGACTGTGCAAGGCATTGAACGATTGATTAAGACCGCAATTGTTGACAAGACCCCCTCGGTCTCCTCCGCCGCCCTGGTCTCTTCGTACCACCTTCTCCCGATCGCCCGTGATGTTGTTCGCAGATGGCAGAGTGAAACGCAGGAAGCAGCGTCGTCCGGAAAACAGTCGACTGGATTCCTTGGATTTGGCGGTAGCTCTACCCATGCCATCTCGCAGTCAAACTTCATGACACAATACCACGCAATTGGCCTTCTCTATCAGATGCGCTCGCACGATCGTATGGCTCTTGTGAAGATGGTTCAACAGTATGGTGCTGCTGGTGTGATCAAGAGCCCGGCTGCACTTGTCCTGCTGGTGCGGTTAGCAGCGAAGTTGGCAGAAGAAGACCAGAGCTTGAGAAAGCCTATGATGCAGATGCTTGATGGCTGGCTCCGACACAAGCATGAAATGGTCAACTTTGAGGCGGCAAAGGCTATTTGCGATATGAGGGATGTCACCGATGCTGAGGCCTCTCAAGCTGTCCATGTCCTGCAATTGTTCCTGTCATCTCCCCGGGCGATTACCAAGTTCGCAGCTATCCGCATTCTCCATAACTTCGCAACATTCAAACCCCACGTGGTGAATGTCTGCAATCCTGACATCGAATCGTTGATCTCGAACTCCAATCGCTCCATTGCTACCTTCGCTATTACCACGCTGCTTAAGACTGGCAACGAGGCCAGTGTCGACCGTCTGATGAAGCAGATCTCCGGCTTCATGGCTGATATTACCGACGAGTTCAAGATTACTATTGTTGAAGCTATCCGCACGCTGTGTCTGAAGTTCCCCAGCAAGCAGGCCGGCATGCTCGCATTCCTGAGCGGTATTCTGCGTGATGAGGGTGGATATGAGTTCAAGCGGAGCGTTGTCGAGAGCATGTTTGATCTGATAAAATTCGTTCCCGAGAGTAGGGAAGAGGGTAGGCCTCCTGTGTCCGTTGGGATTTCATAATGCTAACATAAACCAGCTCTTGCCCATCTCTGTGAGTTCATTGAAGACTGTGAATTCACCAAGCTGTCTGTTCGGGTCCTGCACCTTCTTGGTGTAGAAGGCCCAAAGACTTCCCATCCTACCAAGTACATTCGCTATATCTACAACCGAGTCGTCTTGGAGAATGCAATTGTGCGCGCTGCTGCTGTGACAGCCTTGGCCAAGTTTGGTGTTGGACAGAAGGACCCAGAAGTGAAGTCAAGCGTTTCTGTTCTTCTCACACGCTGTCTTGATGACACTGATGATGAAGTGCGTGATCGTGCTGCTCTCAACCTTCGTCTCATGGCTGAGGAGGATGAGACAGCGTCGCTTTTCCTCAAGAACGGTAAGCGTAGCATTTGAGACATTTCTGGCCTGATTTGTTTGCTGACGGATCTAGATTCAATGTACTCTCTTTCCACATTCGAGCACCAGCTCGTGATGTATGTGACATCGACAGAGAAAGAAACGTTTGCCGCGGCATTCGACGTCTCTACGGTCCCGGTTGTTACCCAGGAGCAAGCTTTGGCCGAAGAACGGACCAAGAAACTCACGACTGCAACCCCGACACTCAAGGCTCCATCCACCGGTCCCCCGAAGAGCAAGGCCAACGGTGTTGCCGAAGCCGCCACGGTTGCTGCCACCCAGAAGTACGCCGAGGAGCTTATGCGGATTCCAGAGCTCAAGGAGTACGGCACCTTGCTCAAATCTTCTGTTCCTGTGGAACTCACCGAAAGCGAAACGGAGTACGTCGTCACGGCGGTCAAGCATATCTTCAAGGAACACATTGTGGTGCAATACGATATTAAGAATACTCTGCCGGATACTGTCCTCGAAGATGTCACCGTTGTTGCGACGCCCTCCGAAGAAGATGTTTTGGAAGAGGAGTTCATTGTGCCCGCCCCCAAGCTTGCTACGAATGAGCCCGGCATTGTATATGTTACGTTCAAAAAACTTGCTGGCGAGAACAGCGTACCAGTCACATCATTTACGAATATTCTGAAGTTCACCAGCAAGGAGATCGATCCTACGACTGGTGAGCCTGAGGACAGTGGATATGAGGATGAATACCAGGTCGAAGATCTGGAGCTCACAGGCAGTGATTATGTTATTCCCACTTTTGCTGGTAGCTTCGACCATGTCTGGGAGCAGACTGGTGCGAACGGAGAGGAAGTGAGCGAAACTCTGCAACTTAGCAACATGAAAGGCATATCAGGTGAGCCATTTCCTAGCCAGTTTTGTCAGGTACCAAATACTAAGCATATCACAGATGCCACCGAACAATTAATCTCCGCACTATCTTTGCAACCTCTTGAGGGAACTGACGTGGCCCTTAGCAACAGCACACACACGCTCAAGCTCTTTGGAAAGACGGTATCAGGTGGCCGGGTTGCAGCCTTAATTAAGATGGCATTCTCCAGCAAGACCGGTGTCACAACGAAGATTACCGTCCGGGCGGAGGAAGAAGGCGTCGCACCGGCTGTGATTGCATCCCTTTCCTAAGGTTGTAAATTGTAAATGGTAATGGAGGAGGTTGTCATGCCAGGAGGCGTACCCTGCCACGAGTCCTGCATTATGAGATCGGACTTGTTTTGTTTGTTCTTTCCCCAATTTTCGTTAATCCAGATGTCAAGCTAGATGTGATGGCTTTTCTTCTCTTCTTCTATCTCTTTTACCCCTTTTTTGTAGGTGCCTAAGCTGTTTATCCATTTCATACTTCTGATAATGTTTCCCTGCTGTGTGTCGTGACGATTCCATCCCATAGCCTTTATTGTAGTAGCCAAAAGCGGTTTGATCCACGTTGAGATTTTTTTTTTTAGATAACGTTACTTGAATTGTCGGTTTTGGAATCATGACTAGTGAACCTGGACTTACTATAGTCTTTATAACTCCACTCGTATAGAACAAAAACTTGTAGTATATCTGAAAAGACGCCTTCAGGCAGCGGTCTTTCAAAACGGTGAATAGAAAGAAGCTTTTGTTTTGGTCTAGTCATTAATCGTAGCTGGACATATATGCATATAGTGCAATGCATGAATAAAATCAAATATAGTAGACGCCCGCCTGCTCCTCATCATCCTGACTCTCTGCCCCAGACTGAGAACCACGCCGCTTGTCCCGTTCCTGGAGAGCGTTGTCAATCTCCACATCTTCTTCCTGGCGTTCGTCCGGGACCAGATCCTCTACGAACCCGACAGAGCGAAGACTTGCCAGTCCCGTGTCGAGGGCACATATCAGCGTCTTCGTCTCGAAATTCAACTTAAAGTCCACGCACGGAAACCCGAATTCTAGTACTTCTAACGCCAATGGCGGGAACACATGGCATAGGATGATGAAAAACGAGTCTTCCACCATGTCGCCCGGTACACTTAGGAAGTTCAGCTTGGGTAGAAAAGCGGGTATGGCGTTGATGGATTCCGGAGTTAGACCGCGGTTTGAGCCGGAGATGGTGAGACGTTGGAGGCTTTCGCCTAGTTGCGGACTACTCATAAGGCTGCTCAGGTTTGAGACGGAGAGGTCGGAGCAATTTTTTAGTGCTAGGCTGGTGAGCGCGGGGGGCCAGGAGAAGGTGGGGATCAGGAGGGGGTTGAAGCGTCCGCTTATCTGGAGACGGTGGAGGGAGGGGGGCCATGGTACTTTAGTAGATTCGGGGTCGGTCAGGATGATTGATTGTGGGAGGCGAAGGGTGACGAGTTTGTGGAGGCGGCTGATAGCCTGTTTGAGGTTGGGGAAGGGGATTGCTTCGTGGACAAGTGCGAGGTCGAGGTTTCGAAGGTTGGTGCATTTTGATAGCGCTGGGAGGCTGCTTATGCTGCGGTGGAGTGTTAGTTATCTTCGTATTCATACATAGCTTGCATGCACAGGTATACGTACGAGAATGTTAGGGTTGGAGCGACGAATACTTCTAGATTCTCCTTGACTCGGCCCAGTAGCCTCGCTGTGAGGCTGTTGGAGCTATGGTGGACGAGGTGACTTAGGTTTAATCGATGTACGAAACTGCCGAGATTCAGTTTGTTCTTCCGGACATTGATCGGCGGACTGATGGTGTCTGTGAACCTCCTGAAGGAGATTCCAGAATCTACCCGAGGCCTTTCATAGAGGTATGCGATGGCGGCGGAGTACCATTGGCGTGATACCAAACAGCAGGCATGGAGAGTCCGTTGGCGATCGAGCTCATTCCCATCGACGTAAGAAACGATCTGCACGACTACTTCCGTGGGAAGATGAATATGGCGAGAGGGGTGCATCGGGGGCGTTCAGATCGCTGATTTCCATGGTAAGGTTGTCTGCAGCCGATCTTTGTGGTGGAAGTGGAGTCGGTGTGGGATCGACTAAAGAAATAGTATGCTTTATTTTTTGCGTTTCTGTTGCGGGAGAAATGATATCATGGGGCCGCCGATAAGGAGTTAAGATAAATTGCCGACCAGTCGTGACCAGTAAACAACTCCTCCGCATCCCCATCGGTCTTGTTTCCACGCCTCCTCCTCCTCCTCATCGAAACTATATTACCCTCTTTCCACCACTCAATCTCTTAGATTATTGTTCAGAATGCGGCCCCAAGGGCTTTGCCGGTCCTTCGGTCTGCTCCACCGCGCAGCCACTCGTTCCTTCGTAGAGACCGGTGCAGGTCGCCAGTTCATTCAAACGACAACCAGCTCCCCGCCTCGGGTCCCAGACTTTGCCTTTGCCTTCGAGTAGGTATACTGTGCCTCTGAGCTCTGCCTCGGCTTCAATGTCTAATTGTGTGACCAGTATCGACGGCGTCCTTCTCAGATCCTCCAAGCCCATCCCCGGCGCTGCGGAGTCATTAGCTCTCCTCAAGGAACAGGGAATCCCCTTCATTCTTTTGACAAATGGCGGTGGGAAACATGAGACGGAGAGAGTGGCCGAAATCAGTGAAAAACTCCAGTTGCCGTTGGATCCCTCGGTAATCGTCCAGAGCCATTCCCCTTTCGCGGAGCTCGTACGCGGACCGGACGAGCAGAGTTCTCTCGAAAACAAGTGCGTGCTAGTAGTCGGAGGTGATGGCGACCGCTGCCGACAAGTTGCAGAGAGGTACGATACTTGCATGCACCGGAGTAACATTCGCGACAAGGCGCAGTTTTGACACAACCCCCAGGTACGGCTTCAAAAACGTGATCACACCCGGCGACATCATCATGGCCAATCCAACCATTTGGCCTTTCTCGAATGTGTTCAAGGACTACTATAAATCATTTGCGAGGCCACTGCCGAACCCCCAGGACCCTAAAGACCCGACCAAGGGCCTCAAGGTTGACGCCATTTTTGTTTACAATGACCCCCGTGATTGGGCTCTGGATGCACAAGTGATCATGGATTTCCTGCTCTCATCTCAGGGTGTCCTCGGAACTCTCTCGGAGAAGAACGGACGGTCTGACTTGCCAAACCGAGGTTACCAGCAGGATGGTCAGCCACATCTCTACTTCTCAAACCCCGATTTGTGGTGGGCTGCAGCCTATTATCTCCCGCGTCTCGGCCAGGGTGGATTCCGGGAAGCGTTGGAAGGCACCTGGGCTGCAACGACTGGTGGCCCGAGCAAAGGCGTTGAGTTGAAGAAAACGGTTATCGGAAAACCGTACCAGGGTACTTATGAGTTTGCAGAGAACCAACTACTGCGGAACCGCTCCCGCGCTTTTGGTGCAGAGGCCAACATCCCTCTACGAAACGTATACATGATCGGAGACAACCCGGAATCCGATATCCAGGGCGCCAATACATACAGGAGTCCTTATGGCAGTAATTGGCACTCGCTCCTCGTGCGGACTGGAGTCTATCGTGGAGGGGAACCAACATGGACGCCGGAGTCCATCCACGATGATGTCAAAAAGGCTGTCGAATATGGCTTGAAGTCCTCTAGGTGGTAGTTTTAAAGACATCATGCGGAGGCGATCATGTTTTCGTGAACCTCGATTTATAGGCTAATGCAGCAGCAGTAGATGCCTTAGCATATAGACAGGATCGTCGACTGGTCTTCCTTAAACCTACTTGAAACCTTTCATACTGTTGAATGCATATAGATACCATAACAATCCATCCGTTTAATCAGTTTTTGCCAATGAGATTTGAGACTATTATATCTCTTATCTTCCTCTTTTGTTCGGCCATTCGATAAATAGATCAATACCAGAGGCTGACTTTACATACTGCTCGTGTATAGAACTTCGAAATTCGACAAAACTCTAAGAATTAGGGCTGGTAGCTGTACTCCGCATAATGCAGTGCCTGAGGCGCAAACCCGACGGCCCAAATCATGTGACACAGCCCCTCATAGGGCTTAGGGCTGTCTCCATGCGGTGGGGTGACTCAAAGTATTGATTGAGTTGCAAAGCTCAACGCCGTCATCGGTTGATTGTTGACTTCCCCTTATTGCCTTCTTTCTCAAGGAACGATTCGCGCAACTAACCATGGCGGATTCCGAATTGCCCACTCGCCCTAAGCCCGAGGAGACCCCCGCCGCGGCCCCCGCGGAGGGTGCGGAGCAGAGCAAGAGCGCCAGCAAGAACGCTGCGAAGAAGGCCGCAAAGGAGAAGGCCAAAGCCGAGAAAGCTGCTGCGCGCGCCGCCCAAGAGAAGGCTCAGGCCGCTGCCGCTGAGGCCAACGACACCGCAAAGGATCTCTACGGCAAGATCCCCGAATCCGAAGACGTCCTCCCCACCACCAAGTTCAATGACATTACCGATGACCAATATGAGAAGGAGATCACCGTGGTCGCTCGTGTTGACAATGCCCGTGTCCAGAGTGCTAAGCTGGCCTTCCTGATGCTCAGACAGCAGGGCAAGAAGGTGCAGGCTGTTATTGCCGCCGCGGAGCCTATCTCGAGACAGATGGTCAAGTACACCGGTGGATTGAACGTCAACTCCATTGTCCAGGTTACTGGTATCGTCAAGAAGCCCCAGGTTCCCATTGCCTCGGCTACTCTCAGCAACCATGAATTGCACATCCGCAAGGTCTACACCATTGCTGAGGCTGCTCAACAGCTTCCTATGCAGGTCAAGGATGCCGAGAGACCGCCTCCAGAGACCACCGAGGAGGGCCCCCAGGTTGATGCTGATGGCGCCCCCATCGTCACTCTTAAGACCCGTCTCGACAACCGTGTCCTCGATCTGCAGACCGAGACTAGCCAGGCTATTACTTGGATTTCCAGCGGCGTTGCAGAGCTGTTCGCCGAATACATGATCAAGAGCGGTTCGAGGTGGATCTTCACTCCTAAGCTGGTTTCTTCCGCTACGGAAGGTGGTAGCAACGTTTTCGAGGTCAAGTACTTCAAGAGGAACGGATACTTGGCACAGAGCCCACAGCTGTACAAGCAGATGTGTATCGCTGGTGACATGGAAAGCGTGTTCGAGATTGCTCCCGTTTTCCGTGCGGAGGACAGCAACACCCACAGACATTTGACTGAGGTATGGCGGCAACAACGCCTGATATGGATCTTCTTAACATTGCTAACTGAATCCATTTAGTTCTCCGGTCTCGATTTCGAGAAGACCTTCAACGGCCACTACCATGAGGTCTTGGATTTCGCCGAAGACCTTCTCGTCTTCATTCTTACTCAGCTTAAGGAGCGCTACAAGGACCAGATCGCTGTCATCCAGAAGTCCTACCCCAAGGCTGGCGATTTCAAGCTCCCCAAGGACGGCAAGGCCCTGCGCTTGAACTACATGGACGGTCTCGCTATGTTGAAGGAGGCTGGTGTCGACGTCTCCGAGCAGGAGCGATTCGAGAACGACTTCAGCACTGCTATGGAGAAGCAGCTTGGTCAGATCATTCGTGAGAAGTACGACACCGATTTCTACGTCCTGGACAAGTTCCCCATGGCCGTGCGCCCCTTCTACACCAAGGCCGACCCCAAGGATGCCCGCTTCTCCAACTCGTATGACTTCTTCATGCGTGGCGAGGAGATCATGTCCGGTGCCCAGCGTATTAACGACGTCAACGAGCTGATTGAGTCGATGCGCGCCAAGGGCATCAACCCCGACCAGGAGGCTTCGAGGACTACCTGAATGCTTTCCGCCAAGGCTGTCCTCCCCACGCCGGTGGCGGTCTTGGTCTGAACCGTATTGTCATGTTCTTCCTGGGTCTGCCTAACGTCCGTTTGGCGACCTTGTTCCCCCGTGACCCCCAGCGTCTGCGCCCATAAGCATCTAGTCGGGTTGAAACAGGATTGGTATAGACGACCAAGAGTACTTTATACCTGCATGAGATAAAAACAAAAGATAATGGGATCATGAGACCGACATGTTATATATGAGCACGTTTACAGCTGTAAAATTCGTTTGTGTAGGTGGTAGAATCAGCCAAATGCATTGAAATACTGTACATACATATAGGAGTGACATTTTAGAGGTGGCCCAAGCTCCCGGTGGGACCTCCCAAACTTCTTTTTTAGTCCAGTCCAGGAACCACTTCCAAACACTTTCTTCCCTCATTCTCACCAAAGGTCATGTCCAGCATACCCGATAAGCGCAAACAGCCCAGTTCTCTGACTGGCGGGAACCCCTATGCCAAGCGATCCCGTCCTTCTTACGCAGACGAAGAAGATGAAGACGAGATGGCACCAACCGTAACTCCGTACGAACGGCCTCGGAACCACCCGATCTACGGACAGAAGAGCGCTTTTCCCGGCCTCGACACCGCCGCCGACGATGAACTATTCTACGGTCCAGCAGAGGACGGCATAGAATATCTTCGCATGGTCCGGTAAGCCCACACCACTCTCCCTTTGTTTGATTATCACCATTCCTTTTGCTATTTTCCCGCTTGCTAAACGCCTGCGTGTATTTGCTTCTGGCAGCCCGCGATGAATGCGATCCTATCCTATTTCGATTCTGGAGCTAATACGGGCCATACTGTGGAAATAATAGGTCAGAAGCTAATTCACTACCCTTCCTGTTTACCGCGCCTCAACCCACAGATCCGCCCGTCGAAGAAACCAAACAGAGTGAAGCCGAAAAGGACTCCAGCGAACCTCAACCCGAAGAAGAGAACAAGAAGACGGATATCGCGCAGGAAGGCATCTACAGAGATGGGGTGTATGTCGCGGCCCCGTCAACTACCCCGACGGCACAACCGGATACCGCCGAACCAGCGCAATCGGATGCGCAGTCGGGCTATTACAACCTTCTACACCACCGGTTCTTGCTCCTCCGGTCTATATTAAAATGCACGCCGCCGTCGACCGCTATAGCGGCGCTGGACGAGTCGCATCCGATAAGTCTGCCGCGACGCTCGAGAGACGCGCGCAAGGAGTGGCGGCGTCTCTTGCTGGCGGCGGACCCGCAGACAGTGCAGCTAGCGTGTATGGATATGGAGAGTGTGTTGGGGGTGCTGGAGGTTATGGCGAAGCTAATGTCGGAGAATATCAGGAGTGGAGATGCGGAGCGGGTTCGACGGATCGGGGCCTGGGCTTGGGGTTTACTGGGCAAGTGTCGCGATGTTGGGCAGCTGGCGTCTGAGGAGGTGGGCGAGATTCGGGACTTGGGAAAACGTGCCGCTAAGATCTTGCGGAAAATGCGCGAGGAGGATGAGAAGAAGCGCTCGGCTGGGGCGGATGGGAATGTGTCGAGTGGAGAGTCGGATGACGAGAATCCAGCCGAGGATCTGCCTCATGCGGAAGAAGAAACGAAAGACAATGTGGAGGCGCCCAGTGATCCTACTGGCGAATCTCTCGACTACGACATGCCGGACGCGGAACAAGAGCCTCCTGCCGAAGAGATAGAAATGGCCAAAGCACAGCTACAGGCTAAGATTGAGCAAGTCGATGAATCTAAATCGACCGAACCCGATGCTCAGGAGGACGAGACTAAGACCGAGGAGAATGCCGTCGAAGTCGCCATGCAAACCCGGGCCATGCTGGATATGATCATAACAGTGGTCGGGGAGTACTACGGCCAGCGCGATTTACTCTCGGCCCGAGAGCCCTGGACCGACTTGACGAGATTGGTTTGAAAAGTTGATTATCCTGGGTCCATAATTCTTATAGAAATAGTCGGTGGCCTGTGTGTCCTGGCCGACAATCGTTTAGTTAATCAGCGCTTATCAGTGGAAGGCGAAACCAAACTGCATCAGATACCCCAATCAATCGCCGTTCACTGTTAAAAAAGGGAATAAATCCATAATACAAACTATCGTACTCAATAGCAGTAAACTACGCACAATGTCTGCCTGAGTCAGTAAGACCGGTGAGCCTTGCGTCATGGCAGTAAGGCGTAAAATAAGTTCGACTCCGTCCGGTGACTGACAAGCTTATCAGTCATTCCTTTACTTCCTTCACCCTCGTCATTCTGCCCCTAAACCACATCATCCACCCCCAAATCCATGGCGACAACCTCCTCACAACCCACGAATCCCTCCCAAACACGATAGTTGACCAACAAAGAAAACCCATGGCCACAACGCCAAAATAACAATGTCCCCAAACCTCGAAATCACCATCCCAACAACCAGTCTCTCCCCAACCTCTCCTCCCTACACTGTCTACAACCTAACGCTCCGCCTGCCGCTCCGCTCCTTCACGATCGCAAAGCGCTACTCCGAATTCCTCACCTTCCACCAGACCCTGGTGACGCAAACCAACGCCGAGCCACCCGCGCCGCTACCGTCCAAAACCTGGTTCAAAAATACCGTCTCCAACGCCTCGCTCCGCGAAACCCGCCGCCAGGCCCTAGAAGCTTATCTCCAGGCCATAAACGATGCAGATGATGCCCGGTGGCGCAACTCGCCCGCCTGGCGCGCGTTCCTGAATCTGCCCTCGGCCGCCAACGCTTCGCATACCTCGACCAGACTCCATGCGGCCATTACCGACCCGGGGAGCGGTGCGGGTGGCGCGAATAATCCTATCACCGATCCGACGCTGTGGCTGGATGTGTATCGCGACATGAAGTCGCATTTGCATGATGCGAGGTTGCATTTGACGCGGCGGGATCAGGAGACCACGCCGCAAAAGCAGCATGAGAGTTCGGCGCGCGCGAAGAGTAGCCTTGTCAGGGCGGGGAGCCTGATTGCGGCGTTGGAGGCTGGGTTGAAGGTTATGGGTGAGACGGCGAATCGCGCGCAGAGTCCTGGTCGGAGGGGAGGGGATAGCTCGTTGGGAGATGGGGAGCTGCGGCGGAGGAAGGATCTTCTTATTAATGCGCGGAAGGAGAAGGATGGGTTGGAGGATTTGTTGAATGCTATGGCGGCTAAGAGTCGGGTGGATAATGCGGTGGCTTCGGTGCAGGATAAAGAGGCGTTGGTTGGGAACGCGAGTAGGAAGCCCGCGAGGTCGGGGAGGGTGTTGGGGAAGGAGACGGAGAGGACGCGGGAACTGGATAACCAGGGAGTGCTGCAGTTGCAGAGGCAGACGATGGATGATCAGGATCAGAGTGTGGAGGAGTTGTTGAAGATTATACGAAGGCAGAAGGAACTGGGCATTGCTATCAATGAGGAGGTGGAGATTCAGAATGCCCTTCTGTCGATAGCTAATGAGGATGCTGAACGGTATGCGCAGTTGCTCCAGTTTCCCTTATGTGGTTGGCCGTTCTTCTTTGACTAATGATTCTTCATAGGGTACACCGCAAGATCGATATTGGAAAGAAGAGGATAGGGAAGATTTCCTAGTCGGGGCGATGCCCCTGTATCACTTCGTGCCATTTGGAGCGTTCTACAGGCCTCCTACGCTTTGGCCTGCTTGATCTATTCTAGCGAGCATGGGTTTTGAAATGGGAGTTATGGTATTATTATAATGATATCGTTCACTAGTCATATCGGTTGTCGTCCAGCTCAATCTGGAACCTCCTGCTCAACACTCACTTTGCGGACATGAACTGTAAACCACACTTAGTCTAGGTCATTCCTTCAAGTTAATGAAACTTACTTCTTTGGCCTCCGCATCGGTGACCCTAGATTGGTCCGACTCGCGCTGAGTAACAAGTCCCAGCTTGTTTCGTCGAATAAGCCACCACAGCTCTTGTCGGTCTCCTCCAAGCTTCTCCTGCAACAACTTATCTTTGAGCTGGCCCAGGAAGTCATTGTACGAGACAGGCTCTTCGTACGACACCAACTCATCACGCATCGTTCCCAGCGCTTCAACAACCCGGTCGTAGTTAGCATCACCGAGACTATGTTTGATCTGATCTTCAATGATGACCATCATCTGTTTTGTGGCGTCTTTGATGGCCTCGATATTCTCCGCTTGTGCGAGAGTTTGCTTGAACTCGGGAATGGCATTGTTGGAAGAGATCTTGGCGCGCTTTTCATGATGAAGCAGGGCATCGACGTCGAGTCCAGAAAGCGGCTTTTCGGTTTCACGGGTGCGCTTGCGACCCTTTGCTTTGGGAGGAACTAGTAACAAGATTAGCAACCTGACAGCCGTCTTTTGTTTGGGAAGTTGGCCCAACCCTTCTTAACATCGGCTATCTCGATCAATTTCTCTAGGTGTTTCTGCGATTTCTGGATGAGATCCTCTCGCGGGTGTGAATATTTGGTCAGTATTTCTGATGGAGGAAGTATGGGCTGGTCTGGATGTATAGCTCGAGCACGGATGGCGTTGTCAATCCGGTGCAAAACAGGTGAGTAGGAGTCGTCGATAGGGAAAGTCCCCACCGAATTCCTGGTTTTGTACGTCAGAAGATATTTGGAATTATTGAGGCATATGCTTACCCATCCTCATCTGTGTCGACAAGCTCCATACTGTTCACATACTTGCCCATCACATCGAGCAAATCATCACTGGGAAGATTCCGGTGTTGCGTCACAACCTTTCCAGAAACAGTTACCACCTTATCCAGAGCAGGGAAGCGATACGTTCGGACATCTTCAGCGAATGGTAGCTGAACTTCGAGCAGGCATTCATAATCAGGCTCGATCGAGGGCGCCAGCAAGACTATAACCGGCGCCTTGTTCTCTTTCACAACTAAACGAGCAACGGCATAGCATTCTAGCTCAAAAAGCGCGTGTATAAAGGATGAAATGGCAAGAGATGCTTTGTCGTTGGCTCGTTGTGCAATTATGATGTTTGTGCTGGACATGTGCATATAACGTTCATACTATTGTCGTGTCTTAGCGCATGCACCTAGGCAACTTCAGCAAGACATACCTGGTCATTCTGGATGAAGCCCATCAATTCCAGCCCTGCGAATGTATCAAGAATCGTGATATTCTCATCAGTCTCGCTTATGTGAACTGCTGTCCGTCCATACTCATATCCTTTGGCGAGGTCATCTCGTTCGACGTCGATTTTCCCACCCGGTGCACTTTTGTCCTCAACTTGATATGTTCTCATCGTTCTCACCGTTATGAGTCCGGCATCCCCAGACTGGTCCCCTTTTTGGGCAGCCCCGGATGACTCTGCCTCTTCTTGTCCAGCTTCAGGCTCTGAGCGCAGGACAAAAGAACTTGCGGTCGGGGGTTTGGCCGGGTAAGTCCGATAGTACCGTTCAACAGGAATACGGAGCGCGGAGTCATACTCCTCTGGGTTACCTAGTTGAAGATATCCTTTAAAGCTTGCCATTGACCTGACAGACTTGACACGGGGGATATCCAGTTCAGCTACAGCCTGTTCGAATGTTCCATAGACTCCATCGCAATCTTCCACGAGGGTACGCAAGAGAGTTTCATTCTCAGCCTTGTTTCTGTTGTTAGATGATAAAGATCAAGCGGCGCGGGAGATATCGCTACCTTGCGAGGGTCTTTGCCTTCTTCTTTGTAACCGTACTCAGGGTCATCGAAATCAATCCCCCTACTCATAGTTAGCTTTTGTCCCGTTGCTTTTTTGTAGCAAATCACTAACATAATAACAAGTTCGATGTTATCCTCCTTGACCTTTTTCACTATCTCGTCCAGGTCCTCATCACTCATGCGCCCCTGTCCGTTAGTGACCAAAACGATCTTACGCCTGTACTTCAACTTCTTGCAGTGCGTGATGATCATCTGAATAGCCAAGATAATAGCGGAAATAGCTAGAGAACAATGTTTAGTAAATAGATGACAAAGTCCAATGGTTTACAAAAAAGCTTACCGTCTCCCTTGTCCGTTTTGCTTGGTTTCAATTCATCCTCCAGTTTCCGAATGTCCGGCATAAGAAACCTTTTTGACGTCCTGTCAGTTTGGCGCAGGAGCCAATTTATCATATTGGGGAAAACATACTGTTTGATGTTCGACAGAACTGAGATGTGAGAGAAATGCACGTCTTCTTCAAGTTCGTTGGCCGTTTCTATTCTTTGGGTCAGTGTATGGGCCGCATACAGTATTCAGAAGTATACCCACCATCTGTACTGAGTCCGATCACACCCATCATGGCCGTTTTGCGGCCAGTGGCCACCTAATTTGGAGTTAGACAAGTTATATAACGATTGTAGCTCAATTACGGTGAGAACCACTCACTGTTCCTGTAATGCGATCCCAGACATATTGCATGGCCCATTCAAGATCAGTCACTGATCGGTCATTGCGACATTCTCCCATGGACTTCCCAACGTCCACAATATACACAGTTGCTTCCTTGTCTGCCATTGTAAATGTAGTGCGGTCTAAACCTTGAGGTTACCCAAGAGAGGTCGACATTTAAACTAGATGTATAAGGCACAAGGCACCTTCCGCTAGGCGACACGATGGCCAGGCAGACGCGTGATATTTCCTTTTTGGGTGAAGGCGGGACGCGAAGGCACATGACATCATGGCATGGGAAAGTGCGTGGAAAGAGCAAGTTCAGCACACAACCGCGCGTGGCATTATGAAAGCATCGAATATTCAAGCGTAAAGCACCGCTATATGGGTAGTAGTTATAAATGAGCCTTATTTTATAAATGTTATTTCATTGTACTATGTCTATAATATGGTATGATATCTCCGTTTTCTATATCCTATATAACCCCAAGAGCAAAAACACCGATCCTAAACCATAGGCAATTTGGAACTGAGATCGTGACGGTCCTTATAAGCCTCGGTAATCTCTTCAAGGCATCCGGCCGCAGCGGCAAAGAAGCCCAAGAAGGTCTTGCTAGGCGCAAGGACTCGGCTCAGGTACTCAGGGTGGAACTGTACACCGACGTACCACTTATGGTCCTTCAACTCAATGACTTCCATACGCTCGCCGGCCTCGTCCTTTCCAATGAAGGACAGTCCACCCTGCTCCAGCTGGCCGATAAGCTCAGGGTTCACCTCATAACGATGGCGATGTCTTTCCCAGATCTCCTGCTTCTCCCCGTACAGCTTGCGTAAACGAGACCATTCGGTACCAGACTGGAACACAGTCGCCCGCTTTCCAAGACGCATTGTACCACCCATCTTAGTCTTATCGATCTCAGGCATGTATATGATAACAGGCTGTTCGCAGGTCTCGTCGAATTCGGCGCTGCTTGCCTTATCCATACCGCAGACATGTCGGGCAAACTCGACAACAGCCAATTGCATACCAAGACAAATACCAAGGTAGGGAACGTTGTTGGTACGGGCCCATTGGGCGGCCAAAACCATACCCGTCGTACCCCTCGAACCAAAGCCACCGGGCACAAGAACCTATGAATGTCAGTATTGGGTAGACATAGCCAAAGAGCTTGAAAACCTACTCCGTTAGCGGTGGTCAAGTTATGCCACGCGGAATAGTATTCCGCAGGGTTGTTTGTCTTGTGCTCATCTTCAAGATGAGTCGATTCGATCCAGATCAGATTCAACTTCTTGCGGCAATGCATGGACGCCTTTCATTGATGATTAGCAACGACACAATGTCTATATGATCGGCCAAACTCACATGTTCCAGCGCCTTGCTCACACTCATATATGAATCATGCAAGCTTGTGTATTTGCCAATCAAGGCAATCGTCACCGTCTCAAGGGAATGCAGTTGGTTCATAGCCAAGCCCTGCCATTCCTGCCAGATGAGCTTACCACTGTCAATAAGCTTTTGATCCTTGGGGATGACATCAGTTTTAAGGAGTTCACTGAGGGTACTGAGAAATCCCTGTTGTGCCAGAAGGATAGGAACCTGATATGTGGTAGAGACGTTGTGTACGCCAACAACCTGGTTCCGTTCCACTTGGCAAGAATTGGCGATCTTTTGAATAGTAGCCTCCTCCAGGGGCGTCTCGCAGCGGCATGCAATGATATCAGGTCTGAGACCAGCACTACGGACATCACTGATGGCCCTCTGGGTAGGCTTGGTCTTCTGCTCCGAGCCAATTAGAGGAACATAGCTGACTTGGATCTGAAGGAAGTTGTCCTTGCCAACTCGTCTTTGGAGCTGAGCCATGGCCTCAACGAATGGTGCGCTCTCGATGTCTCCAACGGTACCGCCCAACTTGAAAATGCTAGGTTAGTCTATGATACGATCGGTCGATGTTTTCCTGTACTCACTTCGACTGATATAGAGTTAGCAAACACATTCACATTATTTGATCCGGTATACTTACTGATGCAAACGTCAGGCTCCTTTCCAGACTCATCCACAGAAACCTTAGCGACCTTCTCAACCCACTGTATGTCACGTTAATGCACTTCCTGACCAAGTTAGGTAAACCTCTGGGACGTACGTTCTGGATTTCATTCGTCAGATGGGGAACGATCTGCACAGTCTTTCCGAGGTAATCTCCACGACGCTCCTTGGTGATGACATGGTGGTAGATCTTGCCGGTAGTGATATTGTTGTCACCGCCAAGAGTAACGCCGAGATAGCGTTCATAGTTTCCAAGATCCAGATCTGTTTCTGCACCGTCGTCGCAAACGAACACTTCACCGTGTCTTTTTATTGTGTTAATGAATGCAGGTATACGGGGGAATCAGGTGGCACCAACTCTAGAGGCTATATCGAAATCCATTAGCTTGTACGGCAATTGAGATGTTAAAGAAGGTTACAGCCACTCACGTTCATAAGACCAGCATCGATATTAAGGTAGGGGTCGATCTTGATAGAAGAGACAGTCAAACCCGCCGTCTTGAAGAGCAATCCACAGCTTGAGGCGATAATGCCCTTGCCAACGCCGGAGATGACACCTGCAGAGGGCTGTTAAAAGAATGACAGAAAATCATGGACCGGAAAGCAATTACCTCCAGAAACCAGAACGTACTTCATTTTGCAAAATCTGAAAGTTAGCCCCCCTAGTAGAATACTAGGGAGGGGGGAAGAACAAAAAAAAGTGGGCGCGAATATCCGCTTTTGGTGACTCTATAGAAAAAAAAATTCACGACTTACCTAATCAATCATGTGGGCGGTGAGGCTGAACGAACAGTGAGGGTCAACAGTACGGAATACTAAAAGCGGAGTGCTTCCCTGTTACATCACTGCCTCGGACCATCCGTTGTTGATCTCAATACATACTCACTGTTCCATTTCCCACCATGATTGACCCTCGCCCTTATCATATTCTAAGGTTAGTATTTTACAGGCACGTAGTCTATGCAGAAGCACCTTGCTTATTGGTATTTCCAGCTATGGCACTCTACTCGGTGTCCAAGTGTATCAGGTAACATGATCATGCAACATTTAGCGCCATTGAACAGTCTAATCCTCAACTGAATAGACCTTCGTTTCCGGGATTGTAGCTTTTAGAGCCCTTCCTAGACCCCAGTTTGCTTCGTTGCAGACTGCCACATTCCCAATTTATTTCTCACTTCAAACGGCACTTCCAGTGCTAGTTGCTTTGACAGCTAGCAACAATGGACAGCCGCTCGGTATCTCCGGACTCTTGGAGAACCCCAAGACCTTTCTCCCCATGGCCGCGGCTGCTGTGACTGGATTTGTCAATATGGTTGTTCTCCGCCCTCTCACTGTTAACACCATGCGTGAAAGAAAGCACCAGGGTAAGATCATCAGCCTCCTTCTAGTGGGAAAGCGCACTGATTTGATTGCCCAGAAACCCGTGATGGCAAGAAAAGCTACGACCCCCCTCCCCATTCCAAGGAGATGGTAGCTCTTAACAAGAAGTTCGGCCGACTCCACGGCTTCTCGAGCTTGATCAACCTAGTCTGTCTCGGTGCTACCATTTACTACGGTGCTGTACTTGGCAAGCGACTGGCTTAAAGGACATGTCCTTTGGTGATTTGAGCTGGCAATATATGCCTAAATGCACTATGGCAGGTCGTCCCGGCCTCGATCTATTATTGTAAATAGTGAAACTCGATCTCATAAGATTTGAGGCGATGCAAACATGTTCAATTGACCCTTTGTTAAACTCGTAGAAACACATACCCTATCGCCTTTTTCGCATTTATAGAGCCTCTTTAACAGCTAAAATGACCCACGAACACACACACACACACACACACACACACAGAGAGAGAGAGAGAGAGAGAGAGAGAAGTCCTCAATCTCTCAATTTTCACCAACAGAATCATAGGAGCAACAGCTAAAGTATTGTAGACCAGAGTATACAGTACCAGGTAGCAGGCCCTAAATACCCAATTGGGTTAGCGCAGTATCACCTATCTAAACACATCCATGCTAAAGAAAAACTCAGGATACATAAGATTAGGCATTCCAGGTAGGCTAAACCCACCGGTAATCAAGATAGCCAATTCGCACCCCTGATAACGAATGCGGAGCCAAAATGACCTGTTCCAGCCTCATGCCAATTGGATCTGGCCCCCAATCAATCTCGGCTTTTGGCCCCTTCCATCTTAACTCCTAAAGTACAGTTACTATAATAGTAGTAGGATATCCGAGACGCCAGGGTGACCAATAATGTTCGTCGGTGCCTGAATAGCCCCGACTAGCCTAAAAAAATTCGAAGTCTCGTGTTAGTCTCTTCTTACTAGTACGTGCTCGGGGGATTTCGATGTTCGAGCTATCGTTGCTTTTGGCATCTACTAGTCTGTGCTCTGATTGGCCCGCTCGCAAATGACATCATACAGAATTGGACTAACGCTTTAGGGTTTAGCCTTTTTCATGAAGCCATCCAATGAAAGCCGTTATCAAGATTTGATACTAGACGGAGTAGATCCAGGCCAGATGAACCAAACATTATGGATCTTTTAGTGACAATGTCAGGCTATGAATAGATTTTCTTTTGGTCCTTCGTCGACGGGAAGAGGGGTATAAATAAGAGTAGAAGGGGGGGAGATAATGGTATTCAAGCAATTCTCTCGTTCTTGTCTCTCTTTCATCTTCAAATCAATTCATATATACATACCATTTCATTTGTGGAGCTCTTGAACCTGTTTATTCAACTTTATCTTTCTTATATAACAGTCCCTCTTTACAGTCGTGAGTTGTTCTTTTCCTGGTCTTCAACGTGTGCAAACTGAAGCTGATAAAGTATAAATCATAGACCATGGCTCTTAAGTACGAAGCAATCGTCGTCCTCGTCCTCCTCGGGTGCATCGCCGCCGTCCTTATCGGTTATTCTATACACTCTCTCTCAACCAACGGGTTCCGGGATGATGAGCAGAAGCTTGAGATACCATATGAGCAAAGGAAATATATGCGGGAACACCGACTACGCAACCTACACTGGCTCGCTCGGGAAGCCCGTAGTGGAAAACGTGATCGAGACGTTGAAGCGGCCATTCCTACTGGTGCGGAGCACCATGGTTGAGTCAACAATGGTGTAGAAAATGGATTATCTCTTTTCACAAGGCAGTTTGTCTCATGCAGATCCCGAGAGAGCACGTCACTGAATTCACGCTATGGAGGATGTCGTGGCTTGGTTAAACAAGCACTATTGCATTAGAGTTGCTTCAGAAGTCATGAAATTACGACGTCAAAAGTTGTTGTCGAACAGATGAAAAGCATGTCCTGGCGACTTGCGTACATGGGATCATGGTCTTGCCTGCTATTTTGTTGGTTAGCAGCCACGTTCACATTATGGGCATTTACCATTGTACAGTACTAGTCAAAGGCTAGACTATATACCAGGAAAACACATATTCAATACCACGCATATCTCTTGGTATCACATCAACTTCATACCAACGGCCACTATCTTGCGACATGGTGTCATAGTTCCCCGGGCGGTTGCTCACGTATGGGTAGCGTAACTTATCACGTATCTTCTGGAGTACATCAGCTGCTCCTGACTCTGTCGGCAATACAAGCCTCCCATGCTAGTGACTTGCAGTGGTGGCATTATATGTGAGACACATAGTACTCTAAGCTAGAAACAGTCTCAGAGAGCGTCATCTTAATCCTATATTCTTTTCTTTCTTTCTCTCTTTTTATTTATATATAGCGGCCCGTCCTACTCCGCTGGTAACCAATCCGATTTCTTTACCTCTGCGCCAACCGGTATACAAAAATAGTCAAACAGCCGGGAGCCATATAATCTACTATTCCAGAGAGCACCTTTTTCGTAAATAATCAGTCACTCTTGATGACTCTACCAACTGCAAATATAACCCTACCTATATAATATACCTACATAGATATATATTCTCAATTGCCAAGATGTATGTTGAAGATAAGAGGTTCGGCTGGGAAATTTCATATCATTTGAAGCGACAGCAAAACTCGTTGACTATGCTACTAGGACGATGTTTCTCACCAGCTATCATACTACATGTTCGCTCATTGTCCAACACCGAGATGCACTTAAAGAGCAAAATCATTCACGCATTCTCGATTGCAAGACTGCTACAATATGCCTGAAAACAAACTGTCAAGGCGACTAGAGCTTGAATAAGAGGTCCACTTGTTCAGCCACAATGAAGACATCAGTATAATTACAGATACGTATATAGCAGAAAGATGAGAGGACAAGAGGACTTGTCCAACATAATAGCAGTTCTTCTAGAGCTGATATGCTGGCGGTTGACTGGATATGTAAGTGGTGTGCCCGAGGGGGTGTGGGACGAGTACGATATCCTCTCACGTAGTTCAGTAATAAAATCAGTAATTCCAGGTGTTATACGCCTAATACTTTGCGTACAGTTGAACTATCAGCTCCTATAAATAACTCTTTCCCCCCACCTTGTTGTCTGCAGTTCCTTCCTACTGGTCTTCTGTTTTAATATATCCCCCATCCTTTTATATATGTATCGAGATCCTTTCCTACAGGCTCCTATCACTTTCTCAACATCACCCCGTCACGATGAAGTTTTTAATCCTTATTGCTATGTGTCTTGTCGGCCTCGTTGCTCCTGTTGCAATCCCCCTCCCATTCAAAAACAAAAACCTACCATCTAGAGCTGGCCAGAGTGAGCCACATCCATATACCTTTCAAAATATATACAGCGAATATACTAACAGCATCTACACCACAGGCCCTCCCCAAGTTCCTCATCGCAGTCTTGTAAAGGCTCGAAAGATCACCAAATGCCGCGCCAACGTCGACTGCTCCCCAGGAGTCTGTTACGACGGCATCTGCCTCGATTCAGACGAGTATGGACCCGGCGTGTTCATACCGCCTGGATCAGACCCTCGATGCCGTAACAACACCGACTGTAACCCGGGTACATGTTCCCAAGGCATCTGTATCGCTCCTGTTTAGCTTGTGTCTCGCGATACCGGAGATGCTACCAGAGCCCCGGATGTGGTGCCGGTGCTGACGCTGCGCTGGACGTTGCTGACACTGCCTACACGTGGGGACCTCAATTGCCCGGGTTGTGCTGGGTTCGCCTGGTAGGTTCTCATAGTTCCGATGAAGCTTTCCGGCATTCCCACTAATATCATATATGCAGGGTGAGCATGTTGACCCAGTTTTTTATTCTTAGCGCTGGCGCTATGGTGGTCATCGGGCGTAGTCTGGGCTTTTGGGGGCCAAGGACTTATTGGATTCTGTCCTGCGGTTGGCTGTACTATACCTGGGAAGGCGTTTGTGATATTACTTTTTTTTGGCTTTCTTTCTAATCTCTGGATATAGGAGAATACTCAGTTTTACAGATAATATATCCTGCTTCATGGGTAAGTAATATATCGTGATAGAGCAGGTGGTACATGGAGTATTCCAAAGAAACTAGCTGAGTTTGAAGGTAATGAGTAGGTCTAGAGATAATTTTTCATGGCAGTATATCGCTGTACTAAACCTTGGGTTCTCTATATAGACATGCCGTTGTTTTCTGCTAACTGTGAATTATATCCATAGATCATAGGCTATTGGGGTATGGTGTATATGCTATTTCATGCCTCAGGCAGAAATA